ATCCCCATCCTGTGTATTTTGTTCGAGGTTGCCTCAAGACCGCTGTGATACATTTGACTTGTGTACCTTTTGCCTGACTGTAGTAGTTGAGCTTTGCAATCTTTGCCACCGCTTCTTTGATTTCATCAAACATTATCGATTGTTTCTCCTCCTACTCGAATTTCTTCCCCGGCGTTTTTATTTTTTTCAGTTTTTCCTTTCCAGTCTCATCACGTAATAATGGCCTAAGTTTATCGGTCAAACTTGCTGCGTGCGGAATCAATTTTGACAGGTGGTTGATACTACTCATAAAAGATTGTCGTTGTTTTAGTGATTCAGGTGGATTCAGGTTAAGTGGATTCAGAAGGATTTCAGGTCTTTGTTATTTTAGGGACTAAACCAGTTCGTGATAATTTATGCGCGAGCCAATTTACCTCAGACTGGAAGAACTCGCATTTAGATAATTTTATCGCTAGATTTTTTCGTCTTCTCTTTTCAAGTCTTCCAAGAGTAGTTTTTCATGTTCTTTCTCATCGCCCTTGGCGACAATCAAGATATCGACTAAGAAACAAAGTGCATTCGGAGCGTGATTCAGCGTGCAATCCATGGCTTTTTGAAATTCCGCTGGAATATCTGCCAGACCATAGAAGCCTGTAAGGATCCTGTTTGTTCCTGTTGCTTGTCCTCTCAAGATATTGAAATTGCACTGTTTTGCTGCATCTGCAGTCAATTTGAGTTGACTATATGCGTATTTTAAATCTAAGACTGTGAAATGGTGTATGGATTTGATTTGCTCAATCTAGGAGTTCATCGACGTTCGGCAATTGCTAAAATTGTTTTTATACAGTTGCCTGTTAATGGGTTTAGCGTCCAAAGCTAATTTGATGGAATCGTCTTATTTCACTGTGATGACAATTGGGGAGATGAAACAATCCTTAGTTTATTTATCCAATTTCGTTATGTGTCCTTCCGACAACAATTTTTATTGGTTCCGATTGAAATTTCTCCTGAATGTGGATAAGGATTCGTTGACCTTTTCCTTGAATCGGACATAGTGGATATTTAAATTTCGTACTTACTACATGATTTTTTGAACTGCCCTCGCGGTCAAAAAGGTCCGAAAATTTAATTTTTTCAAGCCTTGTGACTCCTCGCACAGTAGCACGTCAAACCTAAATTTATCTGTGGGTGCTGTCTTTTGAGTTGTGTGTATACCAATTTTGCTCTGGAAATCCAATCCCAAAATGCATCTTGTGCGGCGTTCAGTGACAAGAAACAAAACTCTTTTCACTTCCCATCCGGCTGACCTGATATCTGCCTTTAGTGCTCCCAAGATTAAGATAGGCTGTTTATTGTAATCAACAAATTGCGCTGACAAATTTAAGCTTTTCGCAGGCATGAGTTTTGTGTTTAGACATTCTTCTAAGATTTGCTTAGTTGTTTGCGCTGATCGGAGATTTCTTCGTGTGCCGACTTTTTTTACATTTTGAAGATCTCTACTCCCTGTAATCTGATCTGTCTTTTTGTTGAGTCGATCCGAAATAAAATCTGCTATTTGTTCCACGGACATTTTGTCTTTTTCAATAGCCATGATCTCAAAGTCATCGCAGGCATCAAAACATCTTATAAAATTGCATTCTTCATCTGAACTGGAGGTTTTCTCTGTTACTTTGTTTATTTGCTGTGATCGATTTATTCTAGCAAGGTGGTTTGGTTTGTTGCATTTTTCGCATGTTTTGCCCATTGCTGGACAATTTTTAGGTGTCCCTCCACGAAAAGTTTTCCACACCTTGTATACAGTTTCTGATTGGCCCGAGGCCTCGTGTTGTTTTTGGCGTCCATTGTCCTCCGTTTATTGGGTTCTTTATTCGATCGCCTGTTATTTCTTCCTCTATTGCCTACCTCCATAATGTGTTTTTGTTTTATTTTTTTTCTGGCTGACCCAGGAAGTTTCCTGCACTTGCAGTGTTAGCATATGTTTTTTGAAAGTCTTGCGTCGTCTGTTTGTTTTGTTCAAACTGTAACGCTCGTTCCAGACCTCATCGGGTGTGTAAGTTTCAAATGTCAACGTATTTTGTAATAGCGTGTTTTTCATTTTTGAAATAAATAGATCCCGAACTAGCTTGTCTTTTAATGTGCCAAGCTCAGCTTTTGCTGCTTCAGAGTCAAGGCAGCATGGAAAGGTTCTAGCGATTTGCCTGCTTCTTGTGTTTTCGTAATTAATTTGTATCTTTCATTTGTTATACTTTTTGTTTTTCAAATGAGGTTTTAGCTAGGGCTACCATCTCTCCAAACTCAATCTTAGACACTTCAGTATGAAGATTTTTCTGAACAAACCTCTTTTTTCCTTCTGTTCCTAGGGCAAGAAATAATGTCGGAGCGATTCGGATTCGTGTTTCGGCTTCGTTGTAGAACACATTGTGCCCCACCTTTGGTCCTGGCTCCTTTCTTTCTTCGTTTTCTAGCACGGCTTTGTCCCTTAATGATTTGTACCTTGCTTCTCTATCCACCAGTGCTTGTGCGTCCTCATTGGCTCTAGGTGTTTCTGGCCGGGGCATTGGTTCTTCTACGACCGCTTTCGGGTCCCCTAATAGCACTTCTGGGTTCATATTTTACCTCACTATAGTGGCTAATAGAAATTGGTCTAGCCAAATTTTAAAATTCCATGATGGATCCGAATTTACAGAGGTCTAAAACTCTGGGATCCCCATGTCGTTCTATTATCTTGGGAAAAAATCCTGCTGGCTGCACCATGTATTACCGCTATGCACAGGAAGGATAATTGTAACAAAAGGTATATTTCGAAATGTTAATTCACATGAATTTTTTTGTTTACTTATTTTTTAAGTTCTAAGTTAGACTGATTTTCATATCGCAGTACGGACACATTCATTCGTAGATTTTTTAAGTCACCGTAGATTGACCTTGAATAATAATAATCATATAGATACATAAATAACATAAGCACTCCCCAAGGTTACTGTACTGTGGCTGCAGCTGCAGCTACTGTACCACATAGTCAAATAAGATCACATTGCTTGGTTAAAGTCAGGTACCACATCCGCACCAAAATTTCATGTGTAAAATCGATTATAGTGGATTTTCATTGACTGCAATATTGTCTATGTAATCGATTATTTTAGACCACATTTAGACCACATCGACTTTTAATACATTATAAACGATTATTTTTGAAAAATTTAAATCCATTATAATCGATCATAATCCATTTTTGTTTTCAATATAATGGATTTTTTTTCATAAAATCGCCGAAAATTGATTAAATTTTGTAAAAAAATGCCTTTCAAAAGGGCTATTTTGAAACTTTTTTATTTTAACTGAATGGCTTGAAATGAACTGATGAATAAGTTTACAGGAATTGAGATTGATGATAGGAATTGAGATGGAAGTTAACCTTTGTAGGCTGGGTATGTTTGACAAGAATTGAGATGAGATTGAAATTGCGTATGTGTGTCAGGAATTGAGATCGAATTGGGGTATGTTCGACAGGATTTGAGATCGAAGTTGGTTGTTTGATAGGAAATCAGATTAAATGTTTGGCATTCCAACTGTTAATTGATCAACGTAGTAAATAAAAGATATAGTTTTAAACGCTACTTAACATACACACACATATATATATATATATATATATATATATATATATATATATATATATATATATAAAATGTGGATTCCACTTACAGTTTGCGGATTCCATTTACAATTTGCGGATTCCACTTACAGTGTGCGGATTCCGCGCACAGTTGCGGATTCCGCAACAGCTCAATTCAGCTACACACGTGTCTCATTATTTGTTTGTGGATTCCACAAACTGTTCTGGATTCCAAAAATACTGTTGCGGATTTCGCAAATTTGTCTGTTTTTGGATCAGTTTTGAGCGGTACAGTGTTTCAGGTATTTGTTTGTGGAATCCAAAACAGCAAAGAAGATCAAAAAAGTAGCAATGTTGCGGATTCCGCGACAATTCTTATTTTGACCTGTTGCGGATCTCGCTTACAAATGCAGAGAATGCACAGTTGGGCCTCGTAATGAGAATAGCAAACTCAAATTATTTGGGTGACCAAATTTTCAAAAAGTAGCAGTATCACAACTAACATGTTTTTTTTTAAATGCTAGTCTTAATATTTCGTATATAAAAATTGTAAAGGGTTCACTAATCAAACAACCTGAGAACAGAAAGACTCCAATGACAGAATGCACAGGTTAACTGAAAAAATTAGCAATAACAAATTTTTGTTCTATCTTAAAATGATGCGCTTGCCGTGAATATTTATTCTGTGCAACGTTTATTTTGGAGCCCAATGTGCTCTAAGACAAAGCCGCCACTTGGTTGGAAAACCACCAAAAGCTGCATTTTTTCTTCCAAGTATTTAATCTCCTGTTGCACTGACACTGCACTCATTTAGCAAGGAAGAAATAAAAGAATTTTTGAATTGATTAACAAGATCGTTTTTTTAATACACTTGGACCTGTTCGGTTCGAGTGTAATCTTTCTTCGTGGAAACCAAAAAAAAAATTCAAATCAAGAACAAAACTTTTCACTGATGGTCTATTTTAGTCGCCCTATTACTTCTATTCGTCCAAAAAAGTTCTTAGGACTAGTCATAGTAATTTCATAGAACTATGTTCCGCCATGAAATGTGTGGCATTGGGTGATCAGTCTTTTTTCGTACATGAAATTCAAAGAGCATTAGTTTTTCTGTCAACCCGTTTAGTTTCAGCAGGTTTGAGGGTTAATGAGTTGAGGATCACAAAACATGGGAAAGGTGCTTTGATGTTCGTTCAACCGTTATTTCGTTCAAAAACTTAAACAAAACAGGAAGCAATATGGCTCCCAACAACTATTTTTTTTCTCAAAATTGACGATCTGTGGTACGCATAAATGAAACGTGCGTTTCAAGTCAATGCTCAAAACAAACTTAACGTGCAAAACAATTTGCTTGAGTATTATCTTAAAATTCATCAAAACTCTTCAACTTTTTGAATGGTTTGTAATTTTTACTGTTTGAATGGTTTATTAAAAAGCGTTTATGTGGTTTAATTCGTTTTAATTGCACGTTTTTTTTCAGTATCTAAATATTTGGATCTTTGTAATTCATTACGATATTCAAGTGTGACTGAAGAAAAAATTAGTTGACGTCACACCTGTGGACATAATGTCGAAAACAAATGATCTGGACAGACTTCATTATGGTAGTCCATTTTTGCTTGAATTACCACAAACGAAAAGTTCTCTTATGTATTTAATTGCGGATTTTTTCACATAAACTTTGTTCTTTTTCTTTTTTGTCTCTATCTCAAAATGACGTTGCTAACAACAAGCATGATTTCTTTGTGGAAATTTTTGCTGATGCTGGTGTGGATGCAAATTAGCCCTGCTTTAGTTCTCATTAACAGACAACCTCAATATATATCTCCAATTATAGCACATGAACCCCACAATTGCACTATAAATCGGGAAGAATCCGGTTTCATGTGGAGATCACAAAACTTCTATCCAGGTAATTAACTTCTCATCCGAATCCATAAAAAAATAAGGACATCCGATTGCTGTGCTTCGTTTTTTAGTTTGTTGTGCCATGAGAAGATCTGAAAGAACGCCTAGAACTTGCGTGCGCCGATCCGAGAGCCCACTGATTTTATTTGATCATAATGTATATCTGCGACAAAAGTAATCCATTATAATCCAATAGCTTTTTATAAACTAGAACTTCTTTATAAATTACTAAAATCTATTACAAATCAATTACTTTTTAATTCTAAAATCGTTTTTTTATCGCAATTTTTTTGCTAATTATTTGCAAAACATTTGAAATATTTGACAGTATTCTATATCTTTATGTGTTTGTATTAAAAAACAAAGGTGCGAAAATTCGTTCAATCCTCTACGCAAGGATTAACAATTACCCAACCCCCTTCCACACCACAACGGTGAATTGAACATGGGAGAGGGAAATGGGCGAATAGCAATTGTGGTAAATCAAATCAAATAAAGTTTCAAACTGCCATGAATCGAGAAACTTTTAAAAATTCTGACCTGAAATGTTAACTGTTATGAAAACGAATGCGTAACATCTGAACTAAACTGTAAAAAAATTGTAATTTTCATCAATATAATTTCATCCATATAATCGATTATGATTCATGGGCGCCGCTCGGTGCGGGTAGGCATAATCGGTATAATAGTAAATTAGGCATATTCGCCAACAGTTCTCCTGGAAAACCTAATTTTTTGCAGAGGGCTCAAAAAGAAGCTGGAAAACTAATTTTATAGGAAAAATGAAACTACGATAGCTTAAATTGATTTATAAATTTTAGACATGTATAACAAGGTTTTATACTCGCTCGGAATTAGACTTACTTATAAATTTCCAACCACTTTTTCTCGTCATTCATAGAACTTTTCGAAAATTTTTAATGATGTTCGACAGAATCACGATTGAAAAAGTTTTTATATGATATAACATTTGACCGATTCCGATCATTATTTGCGGCATTTTCATTGGTCGGAACAAAAATATAGTTTTTTAAGCTCATTCACGCGGCACCATTAAATAATTGTTATGCAGAACAGAAACCGAGATGTCTGTTTAGCTTTTGGTGGACATGGCTGCAAAGTCTCCCTCTTCAAACCCAGGCAGAAAACGCCGAAAATCCTCTCTTTCGACATGACGAAAGATTTGAACAACAACTCCATATGTCTCCACAAGATAGATATAGAGTAAGTTTTAACCTTGTTATGCTACCAATAATACATGATGATTGTCCGTTATACACAAAATTTTTCAAGTTTTAAAAATCTACTTCAACGATTTTGTGTCTTATGTTAACTTTAACTAGAACTTATAACTATTTTCAGAAACAATGAAATTTGTTTTTTTTTGTTATGCTAAGCTTAACACCGGCTCAATTTCAATTGAGAATTTTTACTACTAGAAACTTAATGGAAACTGGTATCCAAATTCATACAGTTGTTTTAAAAGAACTCAAATTAATCTTTAATTTTCTGAACCGGTGAACGAATAAATGATTTTCAGAAAAGGTATTGAGCTTTGCAACCTCCTGGGAATCCACGTGGAGTTTGTGGTGGAGGGCAAAACGAGTCTCCTTGGTTGGTTCAACCAGTTTGAACAGAGTGAGACGGAGTTCATGCTGGCTCCTCTGCAGCTCCGACAAGTGGATCAATTGAAGGAGATTGTACTTTGCATCCCGATGCAATATTTCAACTTATCCGAATTCTCCACCAGTGAGTCATCTACAGCATCCGAGAAAAAATCAGCAAGGAGTCTCTAGAGTGAAGGGGGTTGTAAAATGTAGTCGGTTGAAATTTTGGTAAATAATTAGGTTCCAAATTGGAAAATCCAATGACAAAATATCTAATCCCACTTGTTATACGAAGAACCTTTGTATCGTTATTCCAATGGAAATTCGATTGAAAACCCCTGAGGAAGCTTTGAAACCTGTGAAGCTTCTTTGAAACATGATCAAATTAAAAAGAAGTTTGATTCAGATTTGATCAATAGAGCTACTTTGTATTGGAAACCAGATTTTGGTAAGCCATTTTTGCTTGCTACTTCAGGTCGACTCATTAAGGCCACGGCAGTTGTGACGGAACTGGCAATTGACTACTCGGATCCGAACCGCGTGTCCCACCAGGAAACAAGGACCATCATAGAGATGTCTTCAACTTCGATAAGCGGGCAACTTTTTGTTTACCAGGTGTTTCCAATAATTTCATAAACGATAGCCAGAAACTAATGAGAAACCCACAATTGTTTTTCGAACTATAAAAACTATTTGCGTACTTGGGATGATATATTTTACTAAAAGACTCGCAAAAAGATAAGGTTTCCGGTAAATTTTAAACTTGCTCAGTGGGCTGCAGTGACTTCATATCAGTTTTTGGGGATAAGTTCATAATTTTTGCTACTGTTAAAAGCCTCACTAAAAACAGAAAGTGTTGTTAAGATTTTTTTCTTTCTTTGATATATCTTCAACATTCTTCAAAATCTTGGCAAGCTTTTGAAGATGACTAGACTTTGGTAGTTATAGTAACACTGGCTTTAAACAGAAACAATAACAAGACTGCTCGTATCAGGGCGAAGCCCTGAATGTCCCGACTGCCCATTAAGGTTTATGGAGCAGTAATATCATTAAAAAATTAAAAGTAATAAAACAAAATGAACATTTTCTTGCCAAAAATTCGATATTTGCTTAAATCAAAATCATCCCCCCACACGCCATATAAAGTACAAAAGGATAGATTTCGCTACTTGTAGCAAATCAATTATGACAAATAAGCTTCGTTAAACCATTTTGGAACGATTTCTAAGACGGATTAACTCTATGCTTACGCGTTCATAGCGCGAAATATATCGCGCGTTAATTGTCCCAAATTGGCAAAAAATGGAAATCTTTAACCCATCATTGCTTTACGAAAAATGATCACAGGTGAAATATCTTTTCAAACTTGATTTCAGGACAACAATACCTTTCGAATGATGTAAAAAAATTACGTCAAAAATGGCTAGTTAAAAAGTCGAAATTTTTCTGAAGAAAAAAAAAACCCACCCCGAGCACAAATATTCCGTTACTTTCGTATCGAAAGTCGGAACAATAAGAAGTAGTTTTTGAAAACTCAAACAAGACTGCTCAAATCAGGGCAAAAGTTTTAGGTTTTGAATGCCTTTTGATGTGTTTGAAGTAAGTGTTGAAATAAATTTTTAAGAGAAATTGAGCGCTTTTTTCTTCCCATTTCATTAAGCAGTGTCACAAATCGAATAAAAATTTATATACAGGGTATTTTCAAATTTGGTTTTTTTCTAAATCCTCTTTTATTTCACAAATATTTGGTTTAATGAGGTGATTTTTCTTGCAATAAGTAGCAACAATTCACCAGATTTTGATGGTATTTTTCATTGAGACTTTGAACTCGTTTTTCTCAAATTCAGTTACTTTGATAAAGACAAATTTAGCTTGAAGTTCATCAGTGTTGCAAAACTTCGAGCCAAAATTATACCCTTAAAACTGGTCAATTGATTTGGTTTAAAATTCAGGAGGCGAAAAAGGATCAATCTAGTTATTCTTACATCAATCAACCATGTTTACTTCCGTAATGAAACAACCTGCAAGTCAATCCAGTATCGATTATTTCAACCAACTCCAGGGTGTTTTCAAAACTTGTTTCACAAACAATTGGGTGATTGAAGTCTTTCTTTTTGCAGTAGACAGCAAGAATTCGCCAAATTCTGATGATATATTTCATTAGTGCGGTTTTTTGTTCACGCATGTTTTCGTGATTTAATGATCTTTCACTGCAAAACAACTGGATGAAATGAACTTTGAATTTTAGTCCTTTTTAGCTGAAAAATGACCCGGACAGTTTTATCAGGACACACTGATATCAGTGAACAATTTTAAAGCATAATGGTGGATTTTTGATGACATACTACATCCCGATTGAGCAACCCGTTTTATATATATATATATATATATATATATATATGTATATATTTAAACGGGTCATTCGAAAGTGTTGGTTTGTTAGATACTGCAGAACAACTCAATTACCTAATAGATAAACCCAATTTTCTGACGCAGCTTTGAATATTTTTGCTTATTTTTTTCTATATTTATTCCTTGACAGCACAAAAACTGTCAGCAGTTTAAAAACACTACTTTCGTAACTTTGTTTAACTTTAAGATGATATCATAGTACGTAGCGTCCTAATTAAGCGTTGTTTTTGTTTGTATACTGCACTTTTGTCCTTGAGCAACTTTGACTCTTGTCGGCCACATCGAAAACATGGATTTGAGATCTCTGTCCCGTTCGTCATACATGTAGTTGGCGGGGATCGTCGTAGAGATTCATAATGATTACTTTTTTTCGGTAAGTTTTTGTTTGTATCTTGTGTCTGATTATAATTTTCCCCCATTGTTAATACGATTTGGTGCCCGAATATTTCTGCTCGCGGTGATTCTTTTGTTCCAGAAAAACTTCGACATTTTAACTAGATATTTTTGACGGAATTTTCAAATACCAATCGAAAGATAATGTTGACTTGAGCTCGCTCTGTGATCCTTTTTAATGAAGTTATGGGGGTTCAAAGATTGCCGATACAATTTGAGGTATTATCGCGTAAGCGGAGATTTAATCCGTCCAAGAAATGTTTACAAATTGAATTCAGTCGAGCTATTTAGCGAAATTTGACACTTAGCACTTTAAATAGCGCGCGGGAAATGATTTTCAAAAAGGTTCAAAGAGAAATTTCGTTTTTTTGTTCATATTTTTATGTCGCACATTCTCATATCACCCGCAGTCTTGTTTTAGATAAATATCCAGTTCTAGTTAGTCATCATTGTATAATTTGGTTCGGTTTCTGGTTGAAATGTTTGTTTGAATTTCGGAATTGAAAATGTTGAAGGCGAGAAAAGCTCACCGTTTCACAATTTAACAATCTTTCACATTTTTAACAGTCTTTTTGAACACAAATTTAGCATCAAGGTCTAAGATTAATAACAACTTCTAACCTATTAGCAATTTGAAAAAAAAAGTGAAAAAGAAAAAATTTATGATCAATTGAAAGCAAACAATTGAAAAAAATAAAATGGCATTAGAGATAACGCAACATAATAATCCTTAAAAATGTATATTTACATATCTCAAAATGCTTTTCAGTTACTTAAGTGTCATCACGTGCAATAAATAGAAAAAAGCGGCACGATCAGTCGTACTCAGTAGTTTCAGAAATAAAAGAACAGATAGATGAACCAATTTGTATAAGCCCCATGTCCCATAATTTACCTTTTAAGCAAAATCGTAAAAAATTTTTCTACTCTTGCTTCGCTGTGCCGACATTCTTTTCGAGTGGTATAATGCACACGAAAAGATAATTGACGCTAATCGGGATTAAAGTTACACAAATTTGTTCGATTGTTGCACCGACTTGGAAAAGATGAGCAGAAAAAATATATCAGCTTTTAATTTTCTGTTAAACGTGACACATTCTTTGGACCTTTAACGGCCGTCAAATCATTAGGAATTTGGGTATAAGGGTTTTTTTTTCTTCAGACAAACTTCGACTTTATAACTAGCCATTTTTGATGGAACTTTTTGTATATCAGCCAAAAGGTATTGTTGTCCTGAGCTTAAATTTGAAAAGATATTTCACCTGTGATCATTTTTCGTAACGTTATGAGGGTTTAAAAAGTGCGATTTTGACCAATTTGGGACAATTAACGCTCGATATAATTCGCGCTATTAACGTGTAAGCGGAGATTTAATCCGTCTTGAAATCGTTCCAAATTGGTTGAATGAAGCTTATTTGCCATAATTGATTTGTTACAAGGAACGAAATCTCTCTTTTTGTATTTTATATGGCGTGTGGGGTGATGATTTTCATAAAAAATTTCAAATAAAAAAAATTCATTTTAATACATTTAATTTCTTAATGTTGTTTATGTTACCAGTGCTCCATAAACGTAAATAGGCAGTCGGAACTTTCAGGGCTTCGCCCTGATACAAGCAGTCTTGTTTCTTTTTGTTTTTCACGCAAAGTCAGGTACCCCATAAAATCATCGGAATGTGTTGAGTTACATATCATTTTAATGCCTTTCTAGTTGTGATTGGAAATATTTGTGAATGTTTGTACAAATTTTCCCAGTGTCGAGAAAAACCGACTTTTGAAACTTTTGATTTTTGTTCTAATTTTGCGCTAATATGGTGAGCGTGCAGGCTTACAATAGCTTATTTAGGCTTAATTTCAGCCGTGAAAACTTAACTTGACTCAATAAAGTTTGTTATTGAAGTTTTTTAGCGCCATTTAGCGAATCAAAATTTCAAAAAAATTTAGCAAAAAAAATTGAAAACATTTTTGAGAATTTTAAATTTTTTATGTTTTTTTTTCGATTAAGAAACGGAATCCAGTTAAAATCCACAAAATGCACCGTTTGGCCTCGTATCGAATTGTGCTGATTAAAAACCAAAGCGACATCTAATTTGCAAATCTAGAATTTTTTAATCTAAATATTAGAAGCTGTTCACATTTTAGTCGTCAGGAACATCGAAACTGCAGGCCTCTTTCGCACTCGCAGTTTGCCCATTTCTCCATTTTCTAATGTGGCTACAGTGTGAAATATGAACACTTAACCAAAAGACATCCAGAAGTAGGAAGCAACCAATGCATTGCAAGACAGTGAGTAAAAAAGTGACCCCTCATCCACAGTTTGCATCGGTGAAATTAGATTGCGTGACCTTCAAAAGCAAAACATCTCTGGTTTTCGCATTAATGGTTAAAATGCACAAACCTGGTGCTACAATAAAACAATATAATTATTTTGCCATGTAAATTTGCAATTCAAATTATTTTCATATTGCTTTTAAATTGTTTCATAGAATATATTAAAGAAAAACAGTTTTAGGATATGCTAGTATTTGTTCAACGTTTTTTCGTACCATAATTATGTATCAAATCTTTGAACCAAAAACGAGACACAGCAAAATACAAAACTGAAAGCAGCAGTGCCAGCAGCTGTATAAGTAACGCAGAAAAGTCCGACATCATTAATTGTTGCAAATAGAGCCCCACACTAGCTCTCATCTGTTAATGTCTAAAAAGGCAGACGGAAGATATCAACCAACGTATCCCTATGGTCAAGGCCAAGTGAAGCGGCAAAAAATCTACACCTGGAGACAAACGCCGACAATTCAATGACTGCGACTATTTCTTGCCTCCGAGCAAAGGCAACAGCAGCCCCTCTAACGTTCGCAGCATTAAAACATAAAACAGGACAAAAAAACGCCTGAAAATTCATTTTCGAAGTTTCTTTTAGGTTCTGATGGAAAAAATTTTGTCCTGCGAAGCTTCGAGAAGCAATTATAATAAATAACGACGTAAAAAACTGTCACCGTTCGACTAGCATAAAACTCGACTAGCATAAAAGTTTGAATTTATGAAGATGTATCGACTAGCATAATTTTTATAAAATTATTTCTCGCGTTCAAGTTAAAAGATGCTTTTTTGAGAAATTGATATTTGAGCATTTGAGAAACTAAGCAATCAAAAAGCAAATGAAATTCCTGTTGTCGTGATTAGTCTAATGACCTAATGAACTCTAGAGCTCTAGTGAAGACTAATCGTGGCTGTGATCGGCACTGTGAAATGTGTAAAGAAAAATTGGGGTCTTTTCACTTATTCCCTTAAAAATTAATATTTCAAAATCTTGGACTGAAACTATTTTGCTTCAATCTGATTGGCTACCATTAAAACGATCGCATTATTGTTACCAAAACGAATCATTGCAATCAGTCTTCTGCTCTCTGTATTTACACATTGAATTCTATAAAATTACAAAATTTGCAAATTGGGGCGGAATAAGTAAAAAGACCCAAAAATTGATTGGATGCTGTTGTTAACCCATCTATTGCAGAAAGGGAGCCATTTCATATCAAGGTGAAAAAATCGGGTCCTCATAACAATCTACCAACCCCCCCCCCCCTTTCAAGAAGGGGGAATAGATTGTTAAGTAGATTAAGGTAGTTGGATCTCTGTAACTACCTCCCCCCATTTTGCAAGGGGGAGATTTGTTACTGGGTATAAATTTTACATATGTTTAACCATTGAATGATTTTTTTATTAGGGATGGCAATTTGCTCCCGCACTGCAGTTTCATGGGAAAAAAAGTTCATAATAAATTTTATCGGCTAAAAATGTGTAATTGAAAATGGATTTTTAAGCAACTTGAATCGAATATTTTCAATTTTCAAAATATAAGTCATTATAATCAATATAATCGTTATAATCAACGATTACAATCGTTCTTTTCAATTTTCAAAATCTATGATAATCATTATAATCAATACAATCATTATAATCGATTATATTGCATTTTTTGTTAGACTATAATGAACTTTTTGGTTCACAAAAATTACAAATTCATTATAAAACGACAATAAAAATTGATTATTATCCATCAAACTTGCGAGCGGGTTTCTAGGGACCCTAGGGGGAAAAAGTTAAAAAGATCCAGTTAGTCGAACTTTTAACCATTCAGAATGAAGCAAATTAGAATTCTGAATAGAAAGCTCGATAATTAACAACATTCAACTGATGCAAAAATTTTTCATTAGTTTTTCTGTGTAATATATTTTTTGACCAATTGAATTTTGTATTTCATTTCTTGTGTTAGACGATACAACTTTCAATTTGGAAATTTTCATGCTAGTTGAGCTTCATGCTAGTTTATATACCGCCGTGAACAACGTGTAATCATGCTTTTAGAGCTTTTGAGTGTTGATATAATACATAAGCTTTAGAAGTGAAGATTGACTCTTCAGTTAGAATTTCTAAGGAAAAAAGGTACTACAAGCTGTTTTTTTTTTCACTAGGAAATTGAAAAAAAAAGAACTTTCGAATCTTGATGCCAGAAGAAGCCCTAGGTTGATATGTCTTTCAACCACGACTAGCCATTTTTGTGCAAAAAACTGATAGAGAGAAAAAATATAACTGAACGTATAGCTTTAAGTGGGAAGGCTTTAAGGCTAAAAATAGGCTTGGCTTTCATGGGTGAGTTTAGATTTTCTTGAAGGGGATTTTAAAAAATTAAAAGTTAGAATAGATTGAATTTGTTTTCCATTTTTAGTTTGACCAATTAGATTTTCCGAGCTAAAAGAGACAACGGAGAACCTATTCAGTCACTGTTTTGCGCACCATTTTGAAAAAAAGCCACTTACAAGTGCTGGGGAAATCGCAGGGGTTCTGAAATTAGACGATCTGTCCAAAGAGAAAAAAATGATGATTATGGATGTGAGTATAACGTGAAACTATCAGTTCCCAAAGCATTGATAGATGAACCAACAGCATCTCGTAATTTCTCCAAAACAGCAGTGTTACCACTAGCGCAAAAGTTATCAGACACAACATACCATTCTGTTATCTTTGATGGTTTCACTTCTGATTGTATTCGCCGGTGTGCTCTGAACAGCTTTGGAGAAGCATAAAATTCGGGCGCCGGGGCCTTGCATTGAAGACGCTAATGCACGCTAATGCACGCTAATGCACGCTAATGCACGCTAATTGGTAAAAAATCTAACTAATGGGTAAACCTTTGGCCATGACATCTCTTAAACTAGCTACTGCGGTAAACGATCCTCAGGGAATGCAGGCATTAACCGCTTCTGGTCTTATTGGTTTGTACAAAAATCCAGTTGTCTGACCAATTGGCATCAGAAAAAGTGCACGCAGAATAAGGACATACTTTGTACCATCTTGTCCGAGCTGCTCGGTGCAGCTGATACGCCCCAACTGTGTGCTGGCCAACGGGCGTCCTGCGAGGCAGCTGCATTACTTGTCGCGTTTCTCATCATTGAGTCGGAAGTTGAAGGGATGCTGCTGCTTCATGCTAACAAGGCATTTAATGAGATCAAAAAATAGCTTGCTATCCTAAACATGTATGTTGAGTGCTCAGCTATAGCTAAGCATCTCTGTCATCTTTACAGAAAGCCGAAAAACTTGTTTATAGAGTGAGAAGTGTTTTTGTCGCAAGGAGGTAATACTCAGGGCGGACATGAAAGATAGCTTTTTTATATCTCATTAAACAACTCCATGACATTTTAAAGTAAGTTTTGTATGTCAATGACTCTGCTGCAAGTGGGAAAATTGAAAAATTGAAGTCATGGTGGGAAGCGTTGAAATAACTGAGACTGGATTTTAGATCTTACCTAAATTTTTGCAAGACTGAGCTTAATGTTAAACGTGAAATTTTTTACTTTGCAGAGCGTGTTTTCTCTGGAAGTGTTAAAATGATTTTATCAGAGGGACACAAGTTTTTGGGGATGCCCGATTGTCAGCAAAAAGTTCTTTAAGCAACATGTTCTCAAAAAGTCAGATGGTTGGATAAGTGAACTTGAGAGTTCATCATTCGCTGAGACGCAGCCACATTGTGCTTTGGCAGCTTCTACGCATAGTTTCATTCCGAAGAAACTTACATGATGAAAATGACCGTCTGTAGCCAAGATGAAATTAAAGGTAATCTCGCCAGACTCGAAAGCAAAACCATAACGCTGTTTTGACGAAGTTAACTGGTAGAGTATCAACAGGAGACATTGAAAGATCTAAGTTAGAGGTTTCGGCAAGAATGGGTGGTTTGAACATCATCAATCTGGAATCAGACACCGCTCGAAATTCAAAGCCTCCGAAGGTTTCTCTGAACTTCTTGTTGAGAATTTTTTGTCAAGTGTACTGATTTAGACGGAGTTGCAAGTAAGCAGAAACGAGCATCTGCTGAAATTCAAAAGGAGACCGAACAGCGCGCCGAAAAAAGAAAGATGTTGTCTTGCAGTAGCGTTTTGATTCTCCATAATCATGAGAAGTTGAACTGGCTAACAAATGAGGCGCGTCAAAGGTTGCCGCTAGAAAAAAAAGGTTTTGTCTGAAACAATTAGCGCTTCGAGATGCTTTGTGCTTGCAATATAATCATTCGCTGAAAAGTGTCCCTTCTAACTTTGTAAAAAAAATTTGGTTGAGCATTGCTTGTCTTGTCCTACTGGAGCCTTCCCAGCTATTCGGCACAATGAATTGAGAGACATAACAGTAGAACTATTTAAAACTTTGAAGATATCTGGTAGTTGTTGTAGTTTGCTCGAATGTGACGTCACTGCTATAGAATATGGACATAAAGATGACTTCAGTGCAACTTTAGTGCCGCCTGCCTTGAATTTGATGTTTACAATGTAACGGAGCTGATGTTAATGAACCAAGAAGCGAATATTATCAAATCAATTCTACTGGTTCTGATAATTCAATTAATGGAAACATTGACTGGAAAAAATGTAATCTATTTTTGTATCACCAAAAAAAATCTTGTCGATTCTACTTTCGAGTATCACAGTTGTTTGCCACGAAAACAATCCAAAAATTTGGAGAAATAAAAAAAACAATTTTTGTTGAGTTATGGAAAAACGCTATTAATACAGTTTCATTTATGGAAAATTACTAATCGAAGACCTTTCATTCAATTTTCTGGGACTATTAATTTTTTGCCATTGTAATTTTTTGATGCAATAGAGTCCGTATATTACGAGGCCAAAGTGTGTTATTTGTGAACTGTAGGTGGGTTTCGATCGCTCTCTTTGTTTTTTTCTTTCTCTTTGATTGTCCTGACAAAAATTTGACAAGTTAAAAAACTTTTTTTTGGACACCATAGACCTACAAACACCAAAATTTGCGCATATCCAGTGCGCAGCTTTGCCTCATAACAAACAATTTTTATGGGCTTTGTTTTTGCTTTTAAACTCGACTAACTTCCAACCAAAACAATAAGGAAACCATGTTTTCTATCAACTTATGGTGTATCACCGGCAAAAAACATCATAA